AGTGGATCTGAACCCTGGTTTACGAGTTATGCAGCCTACGCAGCTTCATTCCCCATGTCTAAAGCCAGGCTAACTGTGGCATCCTCCCAGGCTGCTGTGAGTATTTCCTGGGCTGGTGTGCGAGAGTGGCGTGGGGACGTGAGCATGCCCAGACACGCCTGGTGTTTGGTGGAGCCATCCCGACTGGGCCTTCGGTATGGAAAGTTCAGAAATTCATTTGTATCCTTTTCCTCATAGAGGGGACCAGACATCTAACCTGACTTCTGGAGGAGCAGCGTGAGTTTCGTGTGGCAGTTACCACCCATAGAGGGCAGAGAGGCAGCAAGGACTGCTGGGGGGAGGAGCCTGGAGTAGACCCTCCGACCCCTGAGCGGTGGCATCTCTATCTGCTCATCTGCGAAGCAGGGGTCCCAGCCTCCAGCTCACCAGGCAGCTGTGCACATTAGCCCAGGGGCCACCCGCTGACCCCCCTCTCCAGCCCTTCCCTCCTCTGCCAGGAGCCAGCTGTCTCGGGCCCAGCAGCACCCAGATGGATAAACACTGACGGTTTCCTCTCCTTCCAGTGCCTCATTTATCAGTCATGGGGCTCTGGCCCTCGCACTCGATGAGCTGTGGCCCCAGGACACGTACAGGCTTGGGGTGGTCTCTTTCCAGCTGGGGATGCTGGGCGATGACTCAGTAAATTAACACATGGACCAATTCCCAGAACTCACCCAGAGCGCTCACAGTGGGCAGCCCTCCAGTGTCCCCAGGCCCTGGCTCACCTCGGAGAATGGTCACTCTGCTCTATAGTGTCCCATCTGCCACTGCCGTCTTTGGTCACCCCCCCCCCAATATGACCCTGCCCCCATCCCACCCCTCCTCCATCACAGCCTAGACAGCCAGTTCTATCTACAGTCTCCCTGGCAGAAGCCTTCCCACTACTGTTCTGTTACCGTAACCGTGGCTGGCACTTCTTGTGGTCTGGCTGCAGCCCTTTCCTGCTCCTGGGTCATACCTGTCCCCTACCTACCCACCCCAGACCATGGGATGAGTTGATCCTTCTTGCCCCTGCCACAGTCAACTCTCCAGCAGAACCACCAGTGTCCTGGGACCACTCCTCACACCACACATCTCTGCAGACCTGAGCTGCTCGCGTTGGGGAAAACTGGAACACTCCTGATGGGGCAGCACAAGCGCCACTTGGGCTCCCGTTGTCCCACTGATGCCTAGAAAGCTGGACATGAGCTCTGGCCTCAGGTGCTGGGGCACAGCTTGAGCATCATGTCCTCAGCCCCCCACATAGCTGGGACTATAGGTGCACACTACCCTGCCCACCCAGCTTATCTCAGATTTCATTTGTCTGAAAAAAAAAAAAGTTTTATTTGTTTAAAGAAATTCATTTTTGAGTATTTTTTTTTCTGAGTAGTAAATTATAAGATTTTTTTTCTAGCCTTTATGCCATTTTGATTTGAAACAAAAACTGTTTTCAGCCCAATTTCCTGACACACAGCTCCTAAGACCCTTGGAATCACTTGGGCAGTGCTTCCTCCTGGGTGCCAGTGAGATGGCAGTGGCTTGGGGCTTCTAGGTAGCATCAGGATGGAAGCCAGTTTCCAGGGAAGCCAACCATGGGATGGATGGGCAACCGTACCCCATCCCCCATTTCCAGGAAGGAGAGCAAGGGCTGAAGGTCGAGCTCGTCACCCTGCACTATGATATAATCAATGGCACCTCCTTAATGAACCTGCCATAATGCCCAAGGGACTGGCTCTAGACAGCCTCTGGGCTACCAACCATGTAGATTCCAGAGGCTGCTGTGCCCAGACAGCATATGGACAGGCCATGGCCTTTCCCACACACCCTGTCCTATGAAAGCTCTCCTTCTGGATACTCCCATGTACCCTCTTAGATAGCCCTTGTGATATGTTGACTAGTAAACCAAGTGCTACCCTGAGTTCTAGGAGCCTCTCTGGCAAAGGAATTGAACCTAAGAAGGGGGTGGTGGGAGCCCTCAGTTAGCAGCCCCCAGATCAGGGGTGCAGAGCACAAACAGAACTGGGGAGCAGCATGGTGAGGGAGATAAGCCAGACTCAGCAAGGCCAATAGCCCAGGTTCTCCCCGATATGCGGAATCTAATAAATGTGCCATCGAAGTGGAAGGGAAATTGTTATTAGATGAAGAAGGGCAGAGGGCGAGTGGAAGAGATATAATAGGGGAGAGGGATGTGATCCAACTGTATCGTGCACCTTGGAACCCAATGTTTTGCAAAATTAATAGGCACTGAATCCATGTTTTTTTGAGCTTCATATTTTATTTACAAGAAAATGAAGACCAATAATTTCTGACATTGCCAGTTAAATATAAGACCCAATGCTATTATGGGCTACTGGACTCTTTTAGAATATTTTGCTGAGTTTACACACCTATAATATTCAATAACGGAACTTAGAAAAAATGGGGTA